CCCAATAAGCATACATTACTTTTAGGCTCATAAAAAAGCCATAGTTATTAAATTTGGAAATCACTTACTATGCGTTAGACCATGCCTGGAAAGGGTTTTACATCTCTGAATCCATACAGTCATCAGTAAGGTTGATGCTGTTGCGCCCATTGGGTAAATGGGGAGCCGACAATCAGAGAAGGTAAGTGACTTGCCTACGAATACACAGCTGCGACCAATTCCACTAAAACCCCAGCTGCTCCTAGGGGACTTGAGAGGAGTATCAGGTGTGGTCCCTGCCCCAGGAATGACAGTCCTGGCTCTCCTGGTCTCCTGCGCCCACGCTCAATCTGGGGTCACCCCTCTCTGCCCCTAGAACCAGTTACATAATGGCTTTGGCCAAAAAGGGCACTTTTTCCTCCCATCACAGGTAAAACTCGGGCACTGCCCGGTCGATATTCTCTCCTCCGAGCCTTCCCAGCCTCCTAGCCTTTTCAGCACAGGAACGAGCTCTCTGCTGCCGCCCTGCTCATGGTCGTCTGCCCTGCTCCTGGCAGAGAGGGAGAGCGAACGGGCATTGTGCACATAAATATAGAATCCACAGAGGGCCGCAAGCTGAGTTCTTAATCTGGCTCCATCACTAACAATTTGCAACCTAAGGAAGTCACTCTCTCTCTGCTTCGCCTGTCTCTGAAATCAGTAAAGGATAACACATTTTAAAAAATCAATTGGTGTTCTGCGGAAAAGGGGGGAGACGACGCTAAGTCGGGCTGAAAAGATGGTTCCCAAGCTTCTGCTAATGCTGGAGCCCGATGAAGTCTTGTCTCCACCTCCCCTTCATCAGCGCTTTGCTGAACGGTGGTGGCTCTTCCCCATCTCCTTACCTCCAGGCACTTCCTCTCCCACTCCATCCTCCAGTCCCCCCAGGTCGATCTTTTTAAAGCAGAAATCCTGGTGAGTCACTTCTGCTAAAACCCTGTTGGCTCCCCGCTCCCTTCTGGAAAAAGTTCAACTCCTCTGCTCTGTGATAACAGCTCCTTGCTTTTGCTCTGTCCTTCCCTCCAACCTCTCACCTGCGGGGCACCCCTCGCTCCTCACCTACACTGCATGCAGTTCCCCAAGGGGGGGCCCCCAGCTTCATGCCTCAGGGCCTTTGCATGTGCTGTTTCCTTGGTCTGGAATGCCCCTCCCCCATTAGCATCACATATTTTCCTGCAAGGCCCCTAGAAACCCTCCCTGCTCACCAGACTTGCTCCTTGAGGACACAGCCTCAGTCATCCCTGATATCGGCAGGGCCCTGCACAGAGATGGACACAGGAATAGGGTACATAGGTGCAAAACCAAAGGCTTCTCTCTACATCTCCAGGATGGGCAAATTCCTCCAACAGATGTGGGTCAGTATAATTCTCAGCTCCCATCCTGGGCTCAGTTGGATCTGTGCTTACTAACACCCCAGTTTGGGACAGGACATTTTTAGTTTCTAATATTCCATTTTAAAAACATTTTAGCACCAAGATGAATGTATTTTACCACAGACACTGATGCAGGTTGCCTCCTGCCCACGAGTCTCCTTGCAGAAGATGGTCTAACAATGCACCTTCCCAGCCGTGGGAATCTACAGGGCTGGCTCTCATGGCAAGAAGTGTCACAATGAACCACTGGGTCTGGGGACCACCTCTGGGGGCTGCACCTGCACTATCCACATCCAAACAGGGACCCCAGTACAGAAAAGTGCCTGAGTGTTGCAGAGGCATCATTTGAGCTGGGGAACTGGTTTACATTTCTGAACACCCACTCCAAAATGAGCCTGCCCGCTGTTCCCCCTCCCACTCACCTGGGCTTCTTTGTCCTGGTGGGTGAACCCCAGCAGTGTCAGCCGGCAGCAAGGACACTGCAGAGGGTCAGCTCCACAGAGCCAGGGAGCAGCCACTCCTCCCGGAGGGAAGGAAGCCAGAGCTTGTGGAGAGCAGTGAACAGAGCTTCCTCCTCAATCCCGAAGGAGACAGCAGGAGCTCCTGGCTCCGTGCCCTCCCGCAGCTGGGAGACCCCGGCAGGGGTGCTTTCTGGGTTCCACTGGGTGCAGAAGTCAAGTGTTGGCTCAGCTTTCTCCTCCAGGGATTGTAGGTGATTCTAGGGCAGGGCCTGAGTCCCTCCCAACTCTGTAACCCCTCGAAGTCCAAACACACAGTCTGTGCTCATCTGCTGAGTCCCAGGGGTGGGCACTGGGGAAAGAAAGTAGAAGATGGAAGTTGGGCCACCGCTGCTGTCACGGCCCACCTCTGAGGGGCCGATGAACCAACCATGCCCAGGGGTACCAGTCACTCTGCCCTCTCTCAAATCTTAAATGTCACCTTCTCAGGGAGGTCTTTCCTGAGCTCTTTAGGGAAGTGCAGTAATTTTGGGGGGAGATGAAGTAATTAAGAACCACCTACTATGTTTCCAAAATTGCGCCGGCCGGGCACTACAAGGACATAGAAGCCAAGAGTCCTCCATTGGCATCCTGCGGCCTTTGTGATGGAATCCAGATTCCTGCCAGCGTGGCCCTGCCCACCTCACCTCCTGCTCCCAACACACACCAACACCTCCACTGGTCTGAAGCTGCCGGACTCTCCAAGCTTGTTCGCGCCTCAGGGCCTTTGCACTTGCTGTCCTTGCTGCTGATAGCTTGTCCCCCAGATGGCCACGTGGTTGTCAGACCTTAATTCCAATGTCACTTCTCAGTTTTTCATGCTCACCCAACCTAGTTATGCTGTGAATCACTGCCCATCACAGGTCCATTTTGTTGTGTGCATGGCACTTGCCAGGGTCGGAAAGAACCTCCATTGTTTCGTTATTGTAGAACCAGTTTATTGAGGAATCTCGACTCAGTGGGCTCCAAGCCTAATTCATCCTACATTCTCTAATTGCTTCATTCTGTCACACTCGAACGAGTCCGCCTTCTTGCTGGGCTCTCATGACAGGCTGATTTGAACACATTTCAGGCACTTTTATTTTTAAAACTCAGCCCAGGCCAGTTCAAAGCTCCAAGGTTTGGCTCAAAGCTTCTCTCCAGAAGTGGGGAAGGGAGAGCTTTATCTCTCTCTCCCTGGGTGCCTCCCCAGGGGTGGGTGCTCTGTTCCCCTTACAGGCTGCTCCTTCTGTTGTGACCTCCCTGGAGATGGGGGTGCCTGACTGTTGCGGGGCTGAGCCTCCGTGGCTGGCATTTCCTTGGGGGTGGGCAGCTGTACCCCCAGCCCCGCCAGTAGAACAGTGCCTGACCTTTCCTGCGGGGAGCAGGAGCTGCCTGAGAGCCCAGTGACGCCCCCTCCCTGTGGTTCCTTATGAGGTGGGGTACCTGCTCTTCCTGCTGCTGGTGCAGGCTTCTCCCCACTGAGTTCCCCCAATTCCCAGGGCTGTGTGCCAAGCTCCCCAAGGACACCCTCACTACCCTGTGCCTGCAGTTGGCACCAGGTTTCTGCAGCTCAGTGAGCATCCAGCTGGGGCACGAGGTGCCAGCCTCCTCTTGGCAGCGGCCTCTGTCTCAGGAGTCTCATGGGACATCTTTTGCTTGGTTCTGGGGTTGGGGTAGGAGAGGGAGTGGTCCCCACTCATTAACACCATGTCTGCCTTCGCTCCCTCTTGACCACTCGTTATTCTTATATAAACAGGGAAGAGCAAGGAGCGAGGGGCTGGGGGTGGCTTCTGGTGCCAGGGACAATTCTGCCACCTTCTATTATGCCACAGGGAAGGTGTCTGGCCCCAGCCTTTGTGATCTCTTTAGGAAGTGGGTTACTTAGCATCTCTTTGTCCACAGCTGTAGTTCCCAGTAACTGATTCTGGGGCAACTGGAAGCGTCCCCTCCAGGTCTCCTTGGTTTTTGTAGGTCTTCCCTCCTGGCACACGTGACAGGAGACTGGCAACTTGGCATGGCTAGTGCCTAGAAAAACGCCCGGCACACTGCCGGCCCTCGGCGCTACCTTCTGAAAGAAGGACTCAGTAGGAAGATTGCTGTGGCTATAGTGACCTCACAAGCAACCAGAAGAGGAAGGGGGAAGGGAGGGGCCTGACCTAGGTGACACCATGTGCCTGATGTCTTTCACCTGTCATTTCATTCATCACAATGACCTTGAAGGGCAGCCTAACGGTCACCCTTTGCCGATGAAAGACCTCCACCTTCTCCAGGCCTGGGCAAGCTCGGGAGGAGCCAGAAGGGCGCGGGGGCAGCTGTGAGCTGAGCTCTGGCTCCCGGGATCCCGGCTCTGCCACTCCTGGGCTAAGTCACTGAGTTCTCTGGCTCTGGTTCTTCATTTGTAAAGTGAGATGAGACTCTGCACTGTAAAGATTTACTTAGCTAATGCGTGTAATGTGCTGAGCTCATGTAGAGACACGACAGGCCATAGTCACCAGAGCCACTTCCGTCACTATTGCTGGGGCAGACTGGTCTGTCTGCCCCCCAGCTGGCACTCCCTGCACCATGTCCCCCACTCCACAAGGCTCGAGGCGTGGGACTGAGGTGATGGAGCCCTCCAGGGCTCTGGAACTGAGAGAAGCCGAGACCCCTGGTGAGGGTGACAGTCAGAGGCGGCCTTTGATGCCAAACTGCGACTGCAGCTGACGTAAAGGGTGGTGAGGAACCTCTGTGGGTCTTTAATCAGAGGAGTGGAAGCAGTGTTTAGGGAGATTAATCTGGCAGCGGAGACAGGATGGAAAACAGGCTCAGTACAAAGAGTTATGGCTGCTGCCCGGCTCCCTAGGAGGCAGGCCATTAAAGAAAAGTGGCCTGGTTCTTGGCTCCCTGGGTGCTCAGGGTTCCCGGCAGCCGGAGGCGCTGGCCCCTTATTCAGAGGCGGCACCTGGGAGGCCGGCAGAGGGCACTGTTTTGTCGGTGACAGTGGTCCCGGCGGGGGATCCCAGGCATCTGGACAGAGGTCAGGCAGCAAGGCCCAATGTGTTAGAGTCAGGAGAGAGTCAGCCCCTTAGTCCCCCAGCCCTGAGGCAAACTGTAAGCAGTTCTGGGCGCTGTGGGGTCTGCTCTCAGGGGAAGGCCCCAGGGAGGGTGGGACCACCCACTCACAGGCACCGTCTCCCACAGGGAGGCCCGCCCAGGCCCCCGGCCTGGCTCCCAGGGCTGCTCTAGAACCTGGGCTGCCCTGGCCAAGAACGGAAGGAGCTGCTGCTTCTGTATTTCCTTATTTTATTTGAAGCTGTCATGACAGGTTGGAGGAGCCGAGGCAATTCCGTCCCCTCTCGTCTTCCAAGGAGACGGGGCCGCGGCCAGCAGGCCCGCAGCGCCCAGCCCCTCACGCCAGAGTGTGGAAAACCTCCACCTTCTCCCGGTACAGCTGATGGAACTGCCGGGCCAGACACTGGAAGGGGGCTTCATAGTTTTCCATTTCCTTCTGCGGAGACAGGACGAAGAGGCTGGTGTGTTGTGTGTGTCACCAGAGCCGGCACACACTCACTCTTACCTCACACACTTGCCTCATTTCACCTGCACACCCTTTGGGAGGCTGCTAGCATTGTGCCTTTTTACCAGAAGGAACCTGTGACACGGCGAGATGAAGTAACTTGCCCAAAGCCACACATTTGTCAGTGGCGGAGCTGGGTTTGAACCTGTTTTCAAACAATCCTTGGCTGCTGGCAAAAGTACAGCCTCGATAAGAGGCAATGAACTATCCCCAATGAATGGAAGAATTTCCAAACCAAAGAATGTTCCAGAGTCACCAAGCTCAGTGTTCAGACAGCAGCCGGGCCCGGGTGCAGAGGCCCAGGGGCTTGTGGGGAGCCCAGCCTGGAACTCAGACTCCCCAGTGTGAGGAGAGCAGCCTGCCCACCCTGCCAGCCGAGTGGCAGAAATGCACAAAGGAAACCGGTTCTGGTGGAGAAAGTTACCCGGACTTTCTAGCAAAGGGAATCCAGGGTGGAGGAAACAGGCTGGCCAAGAGGAGGGACAGAGGTGGCAGTAAGTGCAGAGAGAGGGTTCAGGATGGCTGGACTGTAGCCGAGGAGCATCTGCACTAGGCTCATGACTGCTGGGGACACGGCAGCTGCCACTGTCCAGTCGGACACAAGAGAAGTAACTGTCATACCTGCAGGAACCTTTGGCTGTGCGGAGCGTAAGCTCCTAGGCAAGGCCAATGTCAAATAGAAAGACTGGACCCCTATTTCACACCATTCATTCACAAACACCAACTCAAAATGGATTAAAGACTTGAACTTAAGACCTGAAACCATAAAACTCCCAGAAGAAAACATTGGGGAAAAAGCTCTTTGACATCGATCTTGGCAATGATTTTATGGAAATGACACCAAAACACAAGTAAAAGCAAAAACCAATAAGCAGGACCACCTTCAATGAAAAGGCTTCTGCACAGCAAAGGAAATGGTCAACAGAAAGGAAAGGCAACCCATGGAAGGGGAGAAAACATTCAAAACCACACACCTGAGAAGGGGTTAACATCCAAAATATATAACTCAGACAACTCAATAGCAGAAACACAGATAATGTGATTAAAAATGGGCACAGCACCTGAGTTGGTATCTTTTCAAAGAAAATATTCAAATGGCCCTCAGCACACGAAAATATTCAAATGGCCCTCAACGTCACTAATCATCAAGGAGGTGCAAATCCAACCACAGTGAGACATCACCGCAGCCTGCTGGAGTGGCCACCGCCGAGCAGGCAAACGCGCTGGCGAGGATGTGGAGACAAGGGGTGGGCCCTGTGGAAATCAGCGTTATGCTAAGGGAAGTCAGTCAGACAGAGAAAGACAAACGCCGTATGATCTCACTTATGTGTGGAATCTAAGAAAAAGACCTCACAGAAACAGCAGATTGGTGGCTGCCAGGGGCCGTGGGAATGAGTGGGGGCAATATGGGTGCAGGTGGTCAACGGCAACCACTTCCAGTTTTAAGATGTGTAAGTTCTGGGGATGGAATTAAAAATAAAAAAAGAGAGTCAAGTAACCATGCAGGCACCACCGTCAGGTCCGCCAGACCCCTGCGCTGCATTCAGTAAGGAGCGGAGGAGGTGGGCTTGGTGTGAAAACTTGCCTGTGTCTAAGAGTTTGGTTATATTTCCTTTTTTTTTTTTTTTTTTTAAATATATCTTTACTGATTTCAGAGAGAGGAAGGGAGAGGGAGAGAGAGAGAGAGAAACATCAGTGATGAGAGAGTCATTGATCAGCTGCCTCCTGCACGCCCCCTACTGGGGATCGAGCCCACAACCCGGGCATGTGCCCTGACCGGGAATCAAACCGCGATCGCCTGGATCATAGGTCGACACTCAACCGCCAGGCTACATTTCCTTTTTAATCATAGCCTTCTTAACCAAGCTGCCTCAGGGGAGACTAGTTAACTCGCACAGTTAATACCAAGTGCTAACTGCAGCCTCTGCGGGCACAATTTATACCCACCTGTGTCCACAGTGAGGCAACAAACAGCCGAGCAGAGTTTACACCCACCACCCAGGGGCCTCCGGTGTTACTTTTTGAGTTCTGGGGAGTATGGGACATTGGGGCGAGGAGGCATTTCACAAGGGGGAATATTGGAAGGGAAAACTAAAATGTTTGCTGTGAGTGCGGCTCAGCTCTGCTTTGCTCAAGGGCATGCTGGGTAAAAGCCCCTCTATACAGTAAAAGCTTGCCAATTTGGACTTCATTAATTGAGCAATTGTGATGATTGGGCCAGAGGCAAGAGTGCATTTACGTGTGTACAACCTACGACTTAGTCAGTAATGCAGTATAAATACAGTGGCTAGGGGGAAATGCTTACACTTTGGAAAAGCTCCCTTTTGCGGAGTGTTGGCTGTGCACCAGACTTGTGACTTGTGCTAAGTGTGTATTCACCGCCTGACTTCACTCTCACACCCACTCCGTGCGGCGTAGGGCTTATTGTCCCCACCTGATAGGTGAGGCGCCCGAGGCACCAGCGGTTAGGTGATCTGCGACTCACCCTGGGGGCTCAGAGCACCTGCCTCGCCTCACTGTGCTCTCCAGGAAGCATGCCTTTC